TTGAACTCTTTTACAATGAAATAAAGTGTTTAAATACATTGTAAATACAACTTCATGACTAAGATGATGTAATGTCAGATAGAATTGTTGGGCAAAAACTTTGCCATGAATGGTACAATAGTAAGTATTCGAAGTATGTCATGTATGATGGTAGAGAAGAAAAACTTGTTAAAACAAAACAAGACAAAGTTTGCACAATTTCTTACTGGAATAAAGGTAATACTGATACTGAAGCTGTTGACTACAACATGAAAAAATATCAGCTTCCGCTGATGTTGGACTAGGAGAGTTGATTTTTTTTTTGAAGTGTAATATGTAACAACTTATGATATTACTTGTAATGAAGCTTTAAAAATAGATACTGCAAGTGATAAAACTTACAAAACAGATACGGCATATGATGAAACTTGTATAAAGGTATTGTAAGTAATATAACTTGAAGAAGTAGTCATATCAAGTCAGGTATGCCTGGTATTAAACCATATGTTTTTGTTTTACTTTTTTTTATAAATGTTTTTAGAGAAGAATAAAAGTATTTGACTTGGAATGACCTTCGCACAAGTGTTGTGACTTGCAAAATATTTTGATAGGCAGCTCTGGCTTATCCTCACGTGGTGTCTATTGTTACAAATGATTATTATAGTGTTCCATTTATGAAATTGTCTATTTTAATTATTTACTAAAAGCTAAGACAACTATTTAAACTTAGGATATCTAAAATGTTTTAATACAGAACAATATAAAATTAATTGTTACATTTTTTTATAGGATACAACACTGATATATTTGGTAATGAAATAAAATATATTTAATGAAATATCAAAAAATGAAATATACTAATTTATTTTGTTTGTTAAAGATACAATTATTTTTAAGAATTCAAAATCTTTTTATTGTAGGTTGTGGGTAACCATTACCACCCTCTTTAACAAACTTCTCAACTTAACCAAAATTTACGAATAGCAGCGGAAAGACTTTTTTTTCAAAAGTAGGCTCAGTTGTGGTCTTTATCTTTAGCTTGTAGGTTATACTTGGTGCAAAAAGCCTAATTCAGGTTTTAAATTGTTAACTCATTTTAAAATAATTATAATGGTTATTATAAAGATTTATTTATTTTACTTATTTATTTTTTTAGGTTGGGGGGGAGGGCACACGCCCCTCCCACAAGTCAATAAACACACCACCAATAAATGAATTTCTTGTAGCAAAAAAAGTTTTTATGTTTTTTATACTGTATACTAGTTTCACTTATTTTATTAAATATAGAAATATTTATTTATAATTAGAGAATTAAATATTTTTGAAATTAGGGTGTGTTAAACCATCACCACCATATCCACCACCAACTTTAATAAACATCAATCATTGATGGTCTGGAATAAAATTATAGCAATTTTTTGTATAAAAAAAATAACCGTTAGTTGAAAAAAAACACTTTTTATTGAAAGAAATATGCTTATTTTTAGGGTAAAGGTGGTGGTTCGGCACCCCCTCTAGCCCCCAGAAAACGCTTAATAGGTGGACGATATTATAAATTTGTAGCCCACAGTTACACCTATCTTTTGATACTAAGTTATAGGTATTTAGACAAGAATTTACAAAGTTATAACAATTTAAGTAAAGAAAAATTAAATTTTGACCACAGTTTCTTCAACAAATCCATATATCAAAAATTTGCGACTAAAAACGTCATAACTTTTTGTACAAAAGTCCGATTTTAATAATTTTTTCACCTTTGAAATACTGTATTGAAGCACTTTCTAATGATATATAACAATCTAACCTTTGATCAATTTAAAATTTTCAATCCACATACCTACTATCATTAAATAAATAATAAATTCTCGCATGAGTATTATAATCAAAATTCAAATGTTAGAATTAATTGCTCCATTTAATTAATACAAGAAGAAACTAGAAATTCAGCTTTATTTTAAACTAAATAAGTGTAATCATATGATTAGACTTATTTAGCTTAAAATAAAAATGAATTTCTGGTTTTTTGTTAATTATTTAAACGGAGCAACTGGTTCTAACATTAGAGCATAATACTTATGTGTGAAATCATTATTTTTTTGTGAGAAATTATTTTAATTTTAATCTTGAAATGGAGATTATAACCAAAACGGTAAATAAAAATGCAAAAATAAAATTGCAAAAATAAAACAATAATAAAATAGATATGTGCATCAAAAAACAATGAAATAAATTTTGCCTCTATTTATTTATAATAAACTATTTATATATATTTTTATATAGTATTTATATATAAACTATTTTTGTAAAGATTTAAAGTGAATAGATCAATTTTCTGCAAATAATTTTAAATTTTTTTTTTTTTATTATTTTACTTCACCTCCTTAAGGCCGAGAAGGCCACTACAGACGAGGAGGCTACTTATTTTGTGGCTATAACCCTATAACTCCGAAACACGAACCTTGACGAACAAGGCCGCTGCGCGGAGAAACGAGTTGAGCGCGGTACTACCAGGAACCACTCATTTATGAAGCGAGCGCTCTACCACTACACCACTATCGCAAATTAGACATGTTTACTAAAAAATTATTGTTAAAAACCCGGTTTTCATTTCAAAGTTTATAATCAAATATAAGATCTAATAACTTTAAGTAATGATTTTTAATTTCTTTATTTAAAAGTTTCTATACCTATTAAATTTTGTAAACGAATGGTTAATGTAACTGTGTATACTTTAATATTTTAGTGTTGCTATAGACGTTGCTAAGAGAGCGGAGAATAAAAAAATTTTTAAATTCTTAAACTTCAAAGACCCATAACTCTTAAAATAATGAAATTGACTCCAAATTATTTATGATTATTACTAACGACATTATTTGTGCCAAAAATCATGTATTTCTGAGATTATTTGTGTGGGTTATTTCGACTTGTTGTTTTGACATGGAATTACCCTGAAAAGTTATCACATTTTAAGTTATTATGTTATCTAATCTAATAGGTAAGTATAATTAATAATTAAATATCAACACTTATTATCACTTGTTATCACTGATAACATTTTATTACACAACTTTGCTGCAATGCACAGTGGGCAGGATTTAAGACTTATGGTGGACAAAATTATTTTCATACGATATACGATACTACTTGTACAAATTAAAAGTAATATATGTTTAAATGTTAAAAGTAATATATGTTTAAATGTTAAAAGTATTATATGTTTAAAACTCACCTCGTTATTTTAATACCAGTTTTTGTATATATTGTAAATAATGATCTTGACTAAATATCTTTTTTGTAAATTTAAACTGTTGAATAGTTAAAATATATTAACTGATATCAAATAGGCATACACTCTTTAATTACATTAGGTTATTTTATTAATAAGTTTACATTTAAAAGTTACTGTTTACTATATTTTTGCTTAAAAATTAAAAAACTCTTGCTTTTTTGACAAAAAAAAAAGGTATTTTATTATACATTACATTTTATTATATCGCAATTGATTTTGTGGATTTAAAAAGATACAATTATTAAAAAGATATTATTATAGTATAATAGTATTGTACTCAAAAGAGTTTTTGAAATAGTACAATGGAAAAGTACATGTTTTATTATATGGTTTTAAATAGAATAAGCTATTTTTTTTTTTGGTTTTTTCCACCACCACCACCTGGCCCACTGTACTTTAAGATTTAAATTAGTGTTGTTATTAAACAAAGAAAACACTTACATTTTGAAAACAACTAAAACTATTGTAAAAGCAGCGTAGAAATAAAATAAGAACTTAATTATTCGACCAGTAAAAAATTGATGTTCCGAATGGATCTATTGTTTTAACTTATTTTGAAAGTTATTCCTCAAAAAATGCATGTGAACCATTGATTTAAAGTTTTTTGCTCTTTTTTTTTTCAGCGATCTAATTTTGTGTTTACACTATATTGATCGCGCTGGGTAAACCCTACTACTATAGTTTATACGGTTTTTTGTGTTTAATTCGATGGAATTTGAAATGCAAAATAACAATATAAACTTATCTTATAAGTTGTTGCAAGCATGATATTACAGTGGTATAACAAAATAGTCCAAAGTTTCCTTGATTGGAACTTTAAAGTTTTCCTTTCTTAATCAGTAATAAAATCAAAGGATTGTAGAAGTAGTTCAAGCGCAATTTAAAAATACTTAATTACAACCATAAACCTTAAAAATAATACTTTATTTAGTGATTTTTAATCAATAAATTAACCGAACGTCATAACAGTTGAAGCTTTAATTTAATACTTTGTTTGTAGACTTTCAGTTTGTCAGGGTAATATTAATCCTATTATAAGTTTTGAATAAACTGTTTAAATTTTCACTGTAAAGATAATAATCATTTTTAATCAATTTTTGTCGTTTTTTTTATAAAAAACAACCTGTTCCGATGACGGAATCAAAGTGTTCCAATTTAGGAAACTAGTTGCCTTGATTGGAATAAAATGGTATCTTTGCAAAAACAATTTTATTTCCAATAACAGTGCAATCAATAAGTCAAATTGTGGTTAAAAGAATAATAGGGTTGTCTGTTTGTATTAATCAAATCATAAATGTTTTCATAGTTAAGCCATCTTTAGTTAATAAATATTTATTCCTAAAATGTTCAATCAAGGGATTTCTTTCCTATATAAATTATATGAAATTTTATTGACTCTCATAAAGCCCATCGGGCATTTATTTTTAAAAGTTACGTTCTAAATGTATTTCAAATGTCTTTTAAACGTCTTTTAAACATTCTTTCGTAAATAACGTTTAAAAGACTTTTAAAAAACGTTTAGAAGACATTTAGAACAAATAAAAGTTTAGAAGACATTTTAAAAACAAATGCCCGTAGGAAGGGTTCAGTTTGCTCTTCATTTAATACTTTATACTTCATTTAATATTTGCATAATTAATAAAACAATTAAATTAAATTTAGTATATTAATTTAAGACAAATTTACATAAAAACAAATTCAATACATCTGACCGATGGTCGTGTAACTCTTCTTATCTATTACTTAAAAATAGATTTGAAAATTTTAGGTTTAATTCTCGCACTTTTAGGTTTAATTCTCGCACTTTTAGGTTTAATTCTCGCACTTTTAGGTTTAATTCTCGCACTTTTAGGTTTAATTCTCGCACTTTTAGGTTTAATTCTCGCACTTTTAGGTTTAATTCTCGCACTTTTAGGTTTAATTCTCGCACTTTTAGGTTTAATTCTCGCACTTTTAGGTTTAATTCTCGCACTTTTAGGTTTAATTCTCGCACTTTTAGGTTTAATTCTCGCACTTTTAGGTTTAATTCTCGCACTTTTAGGTTTAATTCTCGCACTTTTAGGTTTAATTCTCGCACTTTTAGGTTTAATTCTCGCACTTTTAGGTTTAATTCTCGCACTTTTAGGTTTAATTCTCGCACTTTTAGGTTTAATTCTCGCACTTTTAGGTTTAATTCTCGCACTTTTAGGTTTAATTCTCGCACTTTTAGGTTTAATTCTCGCACTTTTAGGTTTAATTCTCGCACTTTTAGGTTTAATTCTCGCACTTTTAGGTTTAATTCTCGCACTTTTAGGTTTAATTCTCGCACTTTTAGGTTTAATTCTCGCACTTTTAGGTTTAATTCTCGCACTTTTAGGTTTAATTCTCGCACTTTTAGGTTTAATTCTCGCACTTTTAGGTTTAATTCTCGCACTTTTAGGTTTAATTCTCGCACTTTTAGGTTTAATTCTCGCACTTTTAGGTTTAATTCTCGCACTTTTAGGTTTAATTCTCGCACTTTTAGGTTTAATTCTCGCACTTTTAGGTTTAATTCTCGCACTTTTAGGTTTAATTCTCGCACTTTTAGGTTTAATTCTCGCACTTTTAGGTTTAATTCTCGCACTTTTAGGTTTAATTCTCGCACTTTTTGATAAAATAATGTAAAATTTATTTTTTAAACGTCTAATGTGTTATAAAATAATCATTTACAACAAAGTTCATTTCTTGATAAAATCGATTGTTACTATGGTTGGAAAGTAATAGATTTGTATCATCTGCAATAGATTTGTATCATTTATAAATATGATTTAATTAAACTGATGGATTACTTAAGTCGTTTAAATAAGAGTAAAATACGAGAGATCCTAGTAATGATCCTTGTGGCAATCCACACTGGATTTAAAATATTCCGTATTCCTTGTTTTCAACACATTGATTTCTATAATTAAGGTAACTTTTAATTCAATAGTAAACCATATTAATTACATATTTTGACTCTCCAAAAAAAATGCAGTGATCAACGGTGTCAAAAGCTTTTCTTAGATCAAAAATGTGCCTAAAGTAAAGTTTCTACCTCATATATAATTATCATTATATATGATCTCCTCAAAGTTATTTTATTAATAAGTTTACATTTAATAAACTGCCTAATGTAATTAAATGTTATGTAATTTAAGGTTTTTTTCAGAAAATTGAGTTTAGAGTATTTAAGTAATTTCTAATTTTTTTCATAAAATGTCCTTTTATTTTTAAGAAACTTAAATATACCGTTTTTGTTTGGTTTTTGTTTGTTTTTTTGATTGATTTTTGTTTAGTTTTTATTTGGTTTTTGTATGGTTTTTGTTTGGTTTTTGTTTAAATTTTGTTTGGTTTAAGAGCATTTTATAAGTGTTATAAGTTTATAAGTGTGACCTATTTAAGTAAGCTTATGTATATACACTCCCTGTATGTTCTATCTATTTAAGTTAATCTTTGTATATACATTTCCTGCACGTTCTACTTATGTAAGTAAGTCTTTGTATGTAACTCTTTTTGCATGGTCTCGTTATTTACGTAAGTCTTTGTATATACACTCCTTGCATGTTCTACCTATTTAAGTAAGTCTTTGTATATACAATTCCTGCATGTTCTACCTATTTAAGTAAGTCTTTGTATGTAACTCTTTTTGCATGGTCTCGTTATTTACGTAAGTCTTTGTATATAAAATTCCTGCATGTTCTACCTATTTAAGTAAGTCTTTGTATGTAACTCTCTGCATGGTTTCGTTATTTACGTAAGTCTTTGTATATACACTTCCTGCATGTTCTCGTTACTTAAGTAAGTCTATGCATATTAGTGTGTTTCTAGAAAATATATCATACATTGAATTTCGATATGCAGAATACTGCGTTTGGCATCATTCTGTCCATAAATACCAACAAAAAAAAAAATTAAGTATTTTGCTAAAGTGAATGGTTATTTAAGTGAATTTACTTTAAATTCATTAATTAAAATTTGACTTAAAAATGACTTTATTCATATTATTCCGATTACAATTGAAACAAATTAAAAAATCTAATGGTGTGTGTCAAACAAACAAACTTTTCGCAAAATCTTCAAGTGAACTCTTTCACAAAATAAATCATTAATTTTAAGGAGAAATTTGTTTTAAATGCAAATAATGAACATTTTATCAAATAATTTTAAGAAGTCAGGAGCATGCGCGGATACAGCATTTTTTAAAGTTTAATATGATTTACTTCCAGACATGAATCAAACTCCAAACATTTATATGTTTATGCTTATGTACTAACTAGGATACTTTGCAAAAAATTGCAATGATTTGAGCTTGAACAAAAAAGCCCTGAACTTTAGCTACACCTGCCCCAAACGTGACAAAAACATGTTGATACATTATTTTTTGAAATTCAATGAAATCTTGAATTAACTTAATATGGCGTTCTGCATGGTCATTTACAACTGCAAGTGTTCTTACACACATTGAAAAGTAATTAAAAGACTGGGAAACTCCCTCATTTTTACATGCTTCGATGCCTTTTTCTTTCCATAGCAGACGTTCCTTCTTGGATATCTCCAATAGCAAGAACAAAAAGTTGGACTCTTCGTTGACAAAGTCTTCTAATTTTAATGTAGGAATAATTTTAACTTTATTTTGAGGGCTATTTTACTCAGATCTTTAAAATCGGGGATAAAAATACACCTTGCTATAATATAAGAATACACCTTGATATAATATAAGAATACACCTTGCTATAATATAAGAATAAACCTTGCTATAATATAAGAATACACCTTGCTATAATATAAGAATACACCTTGCTATAATATAAGAATAAACCTTGCTATAATATAAGAATAAACCTTGCTATAATATAAGAATACACCTTGCTATAATATAAGAATAAACCTTGCTATAATATAAGAATACACCTTGCTATAATATAAGAATACACCTTGCTATAATATAAGAATACACCTTGCTATAATATAAGAATACACCTTGCTATAATATAAGAATACACCTTGCTATAATATAAGAATACACCTTGCTATAATATAAGAATACACCTTGCTATATTATAAGAATACACCTTGCTATAATATAAGAATACACCTTGCTATAATATAAGAATACACCTTGCTATAATATAAGAATACACCTTGCTATAATATAAGAATACACCTTGCTATAATATAAGAATAAACCTTGCTATAATATAAGAATACACCTTGCTATAATATAAGAATAAACCTTGCTATAATATAAGAATACACCTTGCTATAATATAAGAATAAACCTTGCTATAATATAAGAATACACCTTGCTATAATATAAGAATACACCTTGCTATAATATAAGAATACACCTTGATATAATATAAGAATACACCTTGCTATAATATAAGAATACACCTTGCTATAATATAAGAATACACCTTGCTATAATATAAGAATACACCTTGCTATAATATAAGAATACACCTTGCTATAATATAAGAATACACCTTGCTATAATATAAGAATACACCTTGCTATAATATAAGAATACACCTTGCTATAATATAAGAATACACCTTGCTATAATATAAGAATACACCTTGCTATAATATAAGAATACACCTTGCTATAATATAAGAATACACCTTGCTATAATATAAGAATACACCTTGCTATAATATAAGAATACACCTTGCTATAATATAAGAATACACCTTGCTATAATATAAGAATACACCTTGCTATAATATAAGAATACACCTTGCTATAATATAAGAATAAACCTTGCTATAATATAAGAATACACCTTGCTATAATATAAGAATACACCTTGCTATAATATAAGAATGCACCTTGCTATAATATAAGAATACACCTTGCTATAATATAAGAATGCACCTTGCTATAATATAAGAATACACCTTGCTATAATATAAGAATGCACCTTGCTATAATATAAGAATACACCTTGCTATAATATAAGAATACACCTTGCTATAATATAAGAATACACCTTGCTATAATATAAGAATACACCTTGCTATAATATAAGAATACACCTTGCAATAATATAAGAATACACCTTGCTATAATATAAGAATACACCTTGCTATAATATAAGAATACACCTTGCTATAATATAAGAATACACCTTGCTATAATATAAGAATACACCTTGCTATAATATAAGAATACACCTTGCTATAATATCATAAGAATACACCTTGCTATAATATAAGAATACACCTTGCTATAATATAAGAATACACCTTGCTATAATATAAGAATACACCTTGCTATAATATCATAAGAATACACCTTGCTATAATATAAGAATACACCTTGCTATAATATAAGAATACACCTTGCTATAATATAAGAATACACCTTGCTATAATATCATAAGAATAAACCTTGCTATAATATAAGAATACACCTTGCTATAATATAAAAATACACCTTGCTATAATATAAGAATACACCTTGCTATAATATAAAAATACACCTTGCTATAATATAAGAATACACCTTGCTATAATATAAAAATACACCTTGCTATAATATAAGAATACACCTTGCTATAATATAAGAATACACCTTGCTATAATATAAGAATACACCTTGCTATAATATAAGAATACACCTTGCTATAATATAAAAATACACCTTGCTATAATATAAGAATACACCTTGCTATAATATAAGAATACACCTTGCTATAATATAAGAATACACCTTGCTATAATATAAGAATACACCTTGCTATAATATAAGAATACACCTTGCTATAATATCATAAGAATACACCTTGCTATAATATAAGAATACACCTTGCTATAATATAAGAATACACCTTGCTATAATATAAGAATACACCTTGCTATAATATAAAAATACACCTTGCTATAATATAAGAATACACCTTGCTATAATATAAGAATACACCTTGCTATAATATAAGAATACACCTTGCTATAATATAAAAATACACCTTGCTATAATATAAGAATACACCTTGCTATAATATAAGAATACACCTTGCTATAATATAAGAATACACCTTGCTATAATATAAGAATACACCTTGCTATAATATAAGAATACACCTTGCTATAATATAAGAATACACCTTGCTATAATATCATAAGAATACACCTTGCTATAATATAAGAATACACCTTGCTATAATATAAGAATACACCTTGCTATAATATAAGAATACACCTTGCTATAATATAAGAATACACCTTGCTATAATATAAAAATACACCTTGCTATAATATAAGAATACACCTTGCTATAATATAAGAATACACCTTGCTATAATATAAGAATACACCTTGCTATAATATAAGAATACACCTTGCTATAATATAAGAATACACCTTGCTATAATATAAGAATACACCTTGCTATAATATAAGAATACACCTTGCTATAATATCATAAGAATACACCTTGCTATAATATAAGAATACACATTGCTATAATATAAGAATACACCTTGCTATAATATAAGAATACACCTTGCTATAATATCATAAGAATACACCTTGCTATAATATAAGAATACACCTTGCTATAATATAAGAATACACCTTGCTATAATATAAGAATACACCTTGCTATAATATAAGAATACACCTTGCTATAATATAAGAATACACCTTGCTATAATATAAGAATACACCTTGCTATAATATAAGAATACACCTTGCTATAATATAAAAATACACCTTGCTATAATATAAGAATACACCTTGCTATAATATAAGAATACACCTTGCTATAATATAAGAATACACCTTGCTATAATATAAGAATACACCTTGCTATAATATAAGAATACACCTTGCTATAATATAAGAATACACCTTGCTATAATATAAGAATACACCTTGCTATAATATAAGAATACACCTTGCTATAATATCATAAGAATACACCTTGCTATAATATCATAAGAATACACCTTGCTATAAATCATAAGAATACACCTTGCTATAATATAAGAATACACCTTGCTATAATATAAGAATACACCTTGCTATAATATAAGAATACACCTTGCTATAATATAAGAATACACCTTGCTATAATATAAGAATACACCTTGCTATAATATAAGAATACACCTTGCTATAATATAAAAATACACCTTGCTATAATATAAGAATACACCTTGCTATAATATAAGAATACACCTTGCTATAATATAAGAATACACCTTGCTATAATATAAGAATACACCTTGCTATAATATAAGAATACACCTTGCTATAATATAAGAATACACCTTGCTATAATATAAGAATACACCTTGCTATAATATCATAAGAATACACCTTGCTATAATATAAGAATACACCTTGCTATAATATAAGAATACACCTTGCTATAATATAAGAATACACCTTGCTATAATATCATAAGAATACACCTTGCTATAATATAAGAATACACCTTGCTATAATATAAGAATACACCTTGCTATAATATAAGAATACACCTTGCTATAATATCATAAGAATACACCTTGCTATAATATAAGAATACACCTTGCTATAATATAAGAATACACCTTGCTATAATATAAGAATACACCTTGCTATAATATAAAAATACACCTTGCTATAATATAAGAATACACCTTGCTATAATATAAGAATACACCTTGCTATAATATAAGAATACACCTTGCTATAATATAAGAATACACCTTGCTATAATATAAGAATACACCTTGCTATAATATAAGAATACACCTTGCTATAATATAAAAATACACCTTGCTATAATATAAGAATACACCTTGCTATAATATAAGAATACACCTTGCTATAATATAAGAATACACCTTGCTATAATATAAGAATACACCTTGCTATAATATAAGAATACACCTTGCTATAATATCATAAGAATACACCTTGCTATAATATAAGAATACACCTTGCTATAATATAAGAATACACCTTGCTATAATATAAGAATACACCTTGCTATAATATAAAAATACACCTTGCTATAATATAAGAATACACCTTGCTATAATATAAGAATACACCTTGCTATAATATAAGAATACACCTTGCTATAATATAAAAATACACCTTGCTATAATATAAGAATACACCTTGCTATAATATAAGAATACACCTTGCTATAATATAAGAATACACCTTGCTATAATATAAGAATACACCTTGCTATAATATAAGAATACACCTTGCTATAATATAAGAATACACCTTGCTATAATATAAGAATACACCTTGCTATAATATCATAAGAATACACCTTGCTATAATATAAGAATACACATTGCTATAATATAAGAATACACCTTGCTATAATATAAGAATACACCTTGCTATAATATCATAAGAATACACCTTGCTATAATATAAGAATACACCTTGCTATAATATAAGAATACACCTTGCTATAATATAAGAATACACCTTGCTATAATATAAGAATACACCTTGCTATAATATAAGAATACACCTTGCTATAATATAAGAATACACCTTGCTATAATATAAGAATACACCTTGCTATAATATAAAAATACACCTTGCTATAATATAAGAATACACCTTGCTATAATATAAGAATACACCTTGCTATAATATAAGAATACACCTTGCTATAATATAAGAATACACCTTGCTATAATATAAGAATACACCTTGCTATAATATAAGAATACACCTTGCTATAATATAAGAATACACCTTGCTATAATATCATAAGAATACACCTTGCTATAATATCATAAGAATACACCTTGCTATAAATCATAAGAATACACCTTGCTATAATATAAGAATACACCTTGCTATAATATAAGAATACACCTTGCTATAATATAAGAATACACCTTGCTATAATATAAGAATACACCTTGCTATAATATAAGAATACACCTTGCTATAATATAAGAATACACCTTGCTATAATATCATAAGAATACACCTTGCTATAATATAAGAATACACCTTGCTATAATATAAGAATACACCTTGCTATAATATAAGAATACACCTTGCTATAATATCATAAGAATACACCTTGCTATAATATAAGAATACACCTTGCTATAATATAAGAATACACCTTGCTATAATATAAGAATACACCTTGCTATAATATAAGAATACACCTTGCTATAATATCATAAGAATACACCTTGCTATAATATCATAAGAATACACCTTGCTATAAATCATAAGAATACACCTTGCTATAATATAAGAATACACCTTGCTATAATATAAGAATACACCTTGCTATAATATAAGAATACACCTTGCTATAATATAAGAATACACCTTGCTATAATATAAGAATACACCTTGCTATAATATAAGAATACACCTTGCTATAATATAAGAATACACCTTGCTATAATATAAGAATACACCTTGCTATAATATAAGAATACACCTTGCTATAATATAAGAATACACCTTGCTATAATATAAGAATACACCTTGCTATAATATAAGAATACACCTTGCTTAACATGTTGGTCTTAACTTCGGTTTTCAGATCCTTATCAGCAATAGCAAAAATTACCTGTTGCTGGGACAGATACCAATTATTACGCATTAGACTCTGGTAAAGAACACTTCTTACTCCTACAAATTCTTTAAACTCGTTTATAGAACTGTTTGTAGTGCAAAAGCAATATTGAACTCTATCTAATCATTTTAATGTGCTTGAGAAGTATTAGGGCTTTTTAGAAATGAAGAGTCCCTGAAAAAATACAATGTTGTTCGTTGCAATTTTCGGATGGTTTATTGTATTTTTTCTAACTGTCTCAGAATTGGTAGGGTGGTACATTTGAGTCATGTGAATAACCAGTATGTATATAAAGTCAGCGATGAATCTTGCTTCATAATGAGCTCCAAGCTGTTTAAATGAAAAGTTCGATAACTCAGCTCCTAGAAAAAATTGCCAGAAGCTCACAAAGATACTTGTAGTCAACTCTCTAGAAAGTATTTTTATGAAGAACTGCGATACAAAACTTTTAAGTGTCCAAGAAAAGTTTTAACAGTAAAAAGACGGGCCTAAAAACATCTTGAGATCAGTTTAACTTTATAATTCTTTCGAGTTTGTTTACATCTTTGTAAATCTGCGGCCATAGTTTTAGGAGAATTACATAAAGTTTCTTGCTGGGACCATTTGTTGGGCCAAAAATTTTTTCATCACATGAGCCACTTGTCATTCGTAAATGTGATGTCTGCACATTAATCAAAGAACCGGTCTTTTAATGACATAGGAAATAGTAATGTTTACGGCACCTTTATTTTTGCCAATGTTACTAGATATTTTGTCAGAAAACAAACAGATAATCTAATCCGGCGTCTCATAGTATTTAAGCGTTACTTGAATTTCAATGGCTTGATTACTTTCTTTGGAGCTTTTGCCAAGAAGAAAGTCTAGTGGACCAGACTCAGGTGAAGATGCTCTCTACTTATCTGTGCCTCAGACTCCACAACATTATGAGTTTTTCTGTTTAGAGTTGATCTTGGAATCGACGTATTATCAATATTAACTCCACCTGCCTTGTAAAGAGAAGACAAAAGACACATACCCGGCCTGACTCCACTCCCAAATCTGGTCATAATTGGAATCCAATTGTGAAGAATGTCTTCCATACTTAACTGAAAACAAACTTTGATTTCACTTCTTTTCTGTTTTTTCTTGACTTTAGTTAGAGGTAAACATAATTCGTCGCATTCTTTTTTATTTTAACTATTATGTCTTTGAATTTTCTCAGACATCTAAATTATTTTTTTTGGTGCCCTGTAAGCATTTTCACAAAATATATTGTCCATGTTCCGGAATTCTACCATATCCCCTTTGAGACAATACCTAAAGAATTTTATGGCTTTTATTTTAGCCTCATTATCCCTATTTTTTTCGCTTTTTATTAAATCAAATATGTTTGTTTTATTAATAGAGAAAAAAAGTGTTTATCTTTTTTTGTAGCTACCCTCTGGTAGTTCTAGTGTCTTAAGAATTTTTAAAGTGTAGTATTCCTTGACTTTCTTGGTGATTCTGGTCTTGGCAGTTTGCTCCGTCACAATGGAAACATCGTTAAACCCAGCCTACTCCCATAAATTGACAAGCTCGCTCAGAATACAGACACCAGAATTATCTGCTTGGTTTTCAACCTGCACACCCCATCAGAAAAACTGGAGCATCTTAAATACGTCTTCCTGTAAGCAACTGGTGCTAAAAAATAAAAAAAAACATTAAAAAGATAATATTGAACATGTTAAAAATGTAATGCTTTTTTTAATTAATTACAGATTTATCTATTGTTTTTTCGAGATTAAGCCAGTAATACCTTCTGAGCATTTTTCCATTTGTAAGAAGTCCTTTAGAGGCAAATCTATGAAACGGGAGCCCTAGCAAATAAAATCCTCCTCTTCCTTTTAGCTTTTGACGCATCTTCTATATCTGTTCTCAGTGAATTAACGTGACAGTTTATGTCTAGAGACATTTTCTAAAATCAATTTATTTCCTTTAAAATATCCTAATTAGATGCATTTAATTGTAGTTGATTGAATCGTGATTATAGTATACAACTAATAATAAAAAAATAGTAAAACTGGTGAATAACTTTTATATACAAATTCGAACCTGCGTTTTAGAATAATTTCTTGGTTGAAAACAACTGTTAAACTTGATTTCTACTTTAATTATAAGTTAAATTTTATAATTACATAGTGACTTAAGTTAAACTTACGCATCATTAACTTTTATTGTTATTATTATGCTTTTGACGAAACATAAATAAAAGTTGACTCGGGTAAAAACCAATTTTAAATCAAAGATTATTGAAGATTGAAATAAAGATTTCAATATAAGTAAATTTACCTAAATAACCTTCCCTTTGAGCTACAAACCTAGTATTAGCAAGTTAAAATTCCATTTATGATATATTTTTGAGACACCCTAATGCAAATACACTCCCTACATTTTCTACCTATTTAAGACTTTGTCTGTACTTATATGTGTATTTATGTGCGCATAACATGGCGTTTTGATCAAAAATGAAGGATAAAGGTTTTGTTTGTAACATATAAGTAACTATTTTATTTATATAGTAAAGAAAAATATAGTATATCCTTAAGCAAAATGATTTTTTTAATGAATATTAATATTTATCTAAAATTAAAAAAAAAAATTCGGGAAGGAAAGTAAATTTTTCTTCTGGGAGATTTTTTATTAAAATATTTTTTCGGACAGGTTTTCCGGGAGGGGTTTTTTCCTGCTACCTACATAAACATAAAACTACTTCATTTTCTTGTTTTTGCAATGCCTAAAAGTCTCATGCCTTAAGCATCAAATCCGGCTGGGCTTCTAACAGTTACAAAAAGTTTTTTTACAGGCTTTGAACTTGTTTAGTCAAATGGCTGATTAAATATGCTTGGTAAATTGGCGATCTCGGCAAGATATATTAATCACAAAATCTGGATCCTCATTCAGAGATATGCGGTAATCCTAAAATTTGTCAAAAATAAAAACTAATATGATGATATCTGTGATTCTTGCAATTGTATTCTGATAATGTATTTTATACTTTTATATATTTCTTATTTTATAATAATTTATATTTATTTAAAATTCCAAAGCGTAAAAATAAGTTTTACAATTTATTCTGTATATTTTATATAGAGTACAATAAAGTTAAAATGTTAATTAGGAAATATTAATACCACTTACGAAAGTATAGATTTTCAATACTGTCGCAAAGTATAGATAAATATTTCTGAGCAAACAACTTTTGATAAACATTTAATTTTGTAATATTTATTAAATTAGCACGAATTTATAGCATCAATTTTAATCTTTTTTAGTAGTTGTTAGCGGAATAGTTAGACATTTTTTTTGAATTGGGGATGAAATTGCAACAGAGGCTGGAATCCTTGTGCTGGTGTCATTTCTCTCTCATCAGTCAATAAATGCACCTCCTATGTAATTTCCTCGATCTTTTTGGTTCTAAGTTATGCCTTATTCTACTCCGTAGCTTTCATCTTCTGGTGCAGCTGCTATATCTAATCGTGTTTACTTTTTTTATCTTTTAAAAAAAACATTTTATTATGAACAACTGGCTATTTATTCTTGGAAGAAATCAATGTAAAAAATTGCTGTCTGATGCTTAGCTTTATTATTCTTAGTTCACTAAATATCGTATCTTATCACAGAAGTTAGACTCTAAAGAATTTTGGAAAATCCTAAAAAAACGTCATTTACAAGGGTAGGTCTTACATTCCATCTCTTATTCATGGGACAGATTTAATTAACTCTCCTAATAGTTAAGACAGAACTATTTGTAAAAAACTTTTCTACTTTTAAATCTTATGACCATTTTTTTCCTATCATTCCAATTAAAAAGGTCAACGCATTTTAATACATTCAAATCACACTAGATTCCCAGCTAGCACACTTACATTAGGCTAACGTATGTAAAACCATCGCAAACGTCGGCTCTTTTTTCAGATGCAATACCAACGTTGATCCAATGTCATTTGGTTAATGATAAAATTATTACCGACGGAACTAAAAACATCTGGCAAATTTACATTGGTCCAATGTATGTAAAAACATCACAAAAAGTTGATCGTTTTTAAGATCTAAACCCAATGTTGATCCAATGTATATATATCTCGACATTGATTCAATGTATATAAATCAACGTTGATCCAATGTATGTAAATACATCGCAAAAAGTTGATTGCTTTTACGAACTAAATCGAACGTTAATTTAATGTATGCGACCAAAAATTGCTACTGCAAAATTATATAACTTGAATAAAATCTTCAGTGATTATTAAAATATCAAACCACAATAAATACAAACTCGATTTTTGTTCCAATGGTAAAGCGTTATCAATGTAGTGCATGTATGAATGTTGCGTCAGCGGTATTTATACATACATGTATATATATATATATATATATATATATATATATATATATATATATATATATATATATATATATATATATATATATATATATATATATATATATATATATATATATATATATATACATACATGAATATATATATATATATATATATATATATATATATATATATATATATATATATATATATATATATATATATATAAAGATAATAGAATGTAATGAAAATTTAATTCCGAAAGGTATTGAATACAACGTTTTGCCAATTAAAGTTCAACGTTGAATCATCGTAAATACAACGTTGGACCAACGTATAAATAAAACGTTGAATCAACGTAAAAAATATAACTATTTTCCGACTTTAATAAAACGTGTTATCAACATTGGTTTTTAGTTGTTGGTGACGTCGCATTTGTAACCATAATGATAAAAAAACAACGTTTGCAGCCGATGTTGGGCCAACGAAACGCGTAACATTGTTTTAATGTTTTAACAACGTATGTGTGCTAGCTGTGCTAGCTCTCAAATAAACTCTTCAACGGCTTATGATGGTTTAGACAACATTCTTGTCATATTCTTACAAAAGTGTTCTCCAGAACTCACTTCAATTCTCTCTATTAATATTAACTATGTAATAAAAATTTTTTTGAGATAATAATTTTTTTTTCTAACCGCTTTATTAAAGTCTTCTTCAAATGCCAGCACTATTTTTTATTTCAAGTAACTTCTTTGCTAATGTTCTGTTAGAACATTAACTAGGATATAACCCCAATGTTCTCACCTTGGTCCTGATTTTTTTCTTATCTACATTAATGGTCTTTGGCAAAAAAAAATTTCTCTTTGACAAAAGTAAATAATATTTGTTAATTTTCAATTTATTAATTACAATTATTTTTGGTTAATTTTCAAAGACTCTTGTCTTCGTTAATTTTTAAAAATCTTGTCTTGACAAAAATTATTATTTTTTCGATCGCTTAAAACAGGCAATCTATCTTGAATCTGATCTCACATCTATAACAGATTGGACTTGTAAATTTTAACTCCAACAAAACTCAGTTATTTACTTCAAACACATATTGCAATACTGTTGATATTCCTATATTTATGAATGCTTACCCTTTCACTGATTCTTTTTCTTTACGTCTTCTTGGATTATTTTTCATTACTGACCTCTCATAGAAATCATAAATATTAACGATTGCTAGGTTAGCACCTGCAATGGTTGCTTTTCTTTATTGTGCAAACCTATTTCTTACTACTAATTTTATTCTCTACCTCCACAAATCTCTTATTCTTCCCTCTATGGAATAATATTATCATATTTGGACTGGTTCTTTTTAATGATGAATGCTATTTTTCTTTTAAACAAGATTCAAAAATGGTTTGTAAATTTTGCCCAGCTAAGCTTGAGCTTCTCTTTCATCGTCGTAAAGTTTTCTTTCTCTACAAATACTATCATTATTGCTGCTCAATGGAGCTATGAGCTTTAGTACCATTAACCAAAACTAATTCTTGCTTGACTTATTATTCAGCAGTTCTCATTGTTTTACTGTATCTGTCTCTGCATGCAATAAAAACTTTTACTTGTCTAGTTTTTTTGCCTGCTCTTTGGAACTCTCTCATCTTCATGTTTTCCTGATATATATAACCAACAACTTTTCAAATCTTCTGTCAACCATTGTCTTGCTCTTTAACTTTATTCTTTATTTTCTAGTAGCTCTCAGTTCACTACCCATCAAACAATCTTTTGTGGATTTTCAGTGGACCTATATATATAGGCATTTTGAGCGGACCGCTGTAGTTTTAGTTACTTATTGAACCATTATAGGCAACCTCGAAAAGTGGCTAGCCGATGACTAGCCACTATAAATATGCGGGAAAGTTATCGGCTTGCTGTTTATAGCGGCTGCTACTAATGGTCCAGTAATCGATAAACAAAACTCTAAAAACCAGAACCGCTAAAAAATCCTATATAGAACCGCTAAAAAATCCTATATAGTTTCACTGCAAATTTAAACAATGTTTTCTGAGTGGTGGTTTCTAAAACAATGTTTGCTGGGTAGTGGTTGCTTAAACAATGCTGGATAGTGTTTGCAGCCTTGTTGAAAATGAACCTGAATTTAAAAAAAAAAATCAATATCACGACGATATGTTCAAAATTTTTTTTACATCTTTTTATGCTAAATATATTCTTTTTCTATATCAAAGAAAAGTTTAGTCAAATTTTAAGCACTGTTTGTTTAAAAGTTCGGTAGCCATCTTACCCTACTTTTTTTAAGTAAAACATGCTAATCAATTTATTATTTAGTGCCATATTTAAAAAAAATATTTTGTTAAGCAAGGTTTAGACTTAAACATTTAAATAACAAAAATATTTAAAGCAATTCTAAAACTGAAAACATCTACATAAAGTTTTTTCATTTTTTACAATTTTTCAATTATCAGGCCCCCGTAAAATGTTGTTCCTGTTTTTAAAAAAACGTAATTTCTGTCGTTGAAACCGACTTTCTGTTTGACGTCCTTTAGATATTATAGAAACGCTGGACAATAGCTTTACATTAAAAACGTAAAAAAAAATCAAAGTTTTGGCTAGAAATTTGCAAACAACATTTTTTTTATAAACTTATGATATCAATTTGTTTTATTTACTAACTACTTAAAAAAGAAAAACAAAAACAATAATAACAACAAAAATGATAGTCTTAGCAATAATAATTTTAAAACGATTAAGTTTTTTTTTAATGGTTATGCTCCATAAATTCTGAGGATGTTCCTAAAGGATTAACTAAGATGCTCCAGAAAGATCAACCGTTACAGAGGGTAAGCGAAAAGCATACCAGAATAAGTTATTATTACATGGAAGTATATTAAGATAAAATATATTCTAATATTCACACGATTTGACCTTTAGTTGGCACAACATACAACTTAATTATTTTTTATATTTGGTGGCAGTGTTTTATCTAGAGTACTTATTTAATAATAAAGTAATAAGGTATATTTTTTTAAAAACTGATACCCATTTTCAAAAATTGCCACCCAAATTCAAAAATATTTATAAAAGCTGTAGAAATGAACAAATGGGAAAAACAGTGAACAAATGCTTGAAACACTGTTTGGATCAAAAAAACCTTTGATATTTTTTTAATATAAAAAAAGTTAAAATAAAAAGTAGAAAAAAAAAAATTTAATACAACTTTGAGAGGCAAAGTACAAAACAAATAATGATTAATTAAAAGTTATAAATAGCAATATAGAGATAAAAATTAGTTAGTTTTTAAAATTGTTCCTGCTATTTTTTGTTTGTTTCGGAATTTTTTTTAATTAATAATTTACTTTAAGTCATTTCTTTACAAATAAATGTAAACACAGTGAAAAGACTTTGCACGTATATTATTTTGATGTTTTGGTTTCTGTAGCAATAATTTTATTTTAAGATCTTAAACTTTATTATTGTATTTAAAAACATCCGAAAAATTATTCGTTACATAATCGATATTAGTCATCTTCCTTTATTGAAACATGAACATGCTTCAGACCCAAAATAGAGTTTTAAATAGTTTATTATTTGTGTAAACTTTTGTTTTTTGTGCACTATTGTTTGTTTATATGCCTGAACTAATGAAAATATTTTTTAATTTTAAGTTTGGTTACCGTTTTTTTTTTTTTTTTTTTTTTGTTATTAGAGTTTTTGTAAAAGCGCTATAAATTACATACAAAAATAGACAAATTAATAAAGGGAGGTATAAACTCTCTAAAACCCCTCCCACAATAGATTCACAATGCAGATGTATTTTTAAAGACACAAATCAACATAAGTTAATATAAATTTCAACTAAAAAATAAACAATTATAAGTTAAAAAAAGTATAAATCTTAATATAATTAAATGTCAAAAATATGTCAAAATAAAAAATATATTTACTTGGAAATATAAAATTAATTAAAGTTATTGTTTTTAATTTGTTAAGTTAAAACTAAAATTGAAAAAAAAAAAATTATTTATTATAACTAAAATGAAATTTATTGAAGACTCAGTAAAGTAAACAAATTTTCTTCTTTAATTTCTTCTCTTCTTATCGGAGAAAAAACCAGATAACAATCATACCGGAAAGCACTAAGCTGCATAAATTAGACAAACAATTTTTTTATAAAATAGGAGGCGCTAAGAAAAATCCTGATAAAAATCATTAAGTCCTTGCAGTTTTTATGAGATCAAAACATAGATTCTGAATTCTTTGTTTTAATGCTATTGTAGTTAAATTGCTTCATATTATTTTAAAGCAAAAAGATATTTTATATGTATGTATGTACACACATATATATATATATATATATATATATATATATATATATATATATATATATATATATATATATATATATATATATATATATATATATATATATATATATATATATATATATATATATATATAACAAATCAATAAATTGATTGCAGAACGTAAATTATTTAACGTAGAGTGTAATAATATAATAAATAAAGATTTCGAGTTCAGTGAATTTGGAACTTTTTCAAAAATAAATCTTGGTGTGCTTTTGATGAATTAAATATGAGGCAGGGTATAAAAAAATTATATTTTTAAATATATTAAAAATAATTCCTAATGATTTAGGATGTGTCAAAAGTACAAGATAACAACTAGTAAAACAAAATAAAAATTAAAGTGTGCGTATATTTAATATAAGGAATGTAAACAAAAATTAAAGTGTGCAAGATATTTAATATAAGAAGTGTGCGTATATTTAATATAACAAATGTAAAGTGTGCAATGTAAATTATTAAACATAAGAAAATATATAAATATTATTAAAAAGTAAAATGTTTTTGATAAAAGTTTTGAAAGTTGTGTAGAGTAAATAAATTTTTGGATTAGAAATAATCCAATCAATCAATTGTTAGCCAAATGAAGAAGATCTTTTGATTTAGTAGTTTCATTTTTTTTACTTTTATATTGGAATCACCATGCTTGAAATTATAAGGATTATAAAAAGTTATTTATATTCTAGACTTCAAACTTTCTAAATATTTAGTGCACACCGCGTGTCCTTAAAACTCCAAATCACACTTTTTGCAATTAATAAACTTTTATGCAATTTATTAATTTTAATAGTTTTTATGATAAAGTTGTTATTACCTAAATTGCAAGAAAGAATGAAAAATGTTCAAATTAAAACTATTTTATGATACATTTTAAAATTATACGCAATATCAACAAATAAAAAAAACAAAGAAAATGATAACAAATATACAACTTTAATGGAACTGTTAAAAAAATTGTCTAGTCAATCCAATAACTTAATCAATAGTGTACTATTGATGTATTAATTACAATTAGAGTACAACAGACAACAAAGAAAAAACAGTAGAAACTGAGCAGTTTGCAAAAAAACTTAAGTTAAAAAAATGCCAATTTAATGAAATTCATTTTTTATTTTTTTCAATTCAAATATTTTAAACGCGGACACCGCAAATGTGTAAGTATATTTTTTTGCTGTACGTTAGCATTGATTGAAATACGTTCTTCCATTGTGTGAAAAGAAAAGATTAAGTAAGCAATTTTCTAATGAGCCAAAAAAAATTTGTGGCTTAAAAAAGAATTTATTTTGTTTCACTCAAACAAAAACTTGGAAAGATTATATAAAAAAGTATCAATAAATAAAAACGATTCAGAAACCAATGGTTTCATCTTTAAGGAAGGATCTTATGTAAAATGTGTTAATTATCTGACTGTCAATATTATGATTAATTGCATTGAAGAAAAAACCAATGAGGAGCATCATCGTTATTAGACAGATTAGAAATTGAAAGCTGTTAAAATATCTAGCATTCAATGGCATCGTATCTTAGCGCACGGACTGCTCCACAATTTGATTACTGCGAGGATTCAGACGTACCATATCGAAAAAGCAATACTGATGATTACACGTGTTCGTATCCGATATTTAATACTGACCATCAAAAATCATTTGATATGTATCGAAGTTATAACCCTAACCAACATGGAAGCAATCAGTTTACTTTTAATCACTCAATCACACACGTAAACTTAATAAATAATCGGTTGCAGATACCAAACAGTTCTAGTTACAATTCGTTTCAGGTACCAACTGATAATATGAACTTAATGACCCATTTTTTGGATCCTTATCATAAGTCTGATAGTTTAAATAGAAATTTTGGGCATATTTTAAATAGTTACCATCTACCAGCAATGGTTAACAACTCATTAGCCGCTATAGAAAGTTATCCAAACTCTCACGGGTATCCAAAAATATCACCTGTTATAAACTTTAATATTAACCAATCACAGATACCACCTCCTTTAATTGGGAGTAATCGAATAAAATCCGACGAAGCATTCACATCAACATTTTATTCTGACACTCTGGGTGGAATATCAACAAATGGGCTACCGATGCTACACAATGTCAAGGTGACAGAATTATCAGAAAATGGAAAAACCTCTCGTGATCACGACGTTGATCAGGCGGACGAAACTCAAAAATGTAAAAACACTATCGAAGGTACTAAAACATCTGTTCGTAGGTTTAAACGTTGGTACAAAGAAAGACACCACAAAGAATTAGATATGAATTCAGTAAACCGTTTTAACGCTCCAGAACTATTAAAAGACTTTTTTCTTGACATTCGTGACACAAGACCGGGTAGAGTTGGTAACGAATACGAACCAGTTACTTTGACAACATATAGAAATGGGCTTAGACGTTTTTTTTTATATAGAAAAGTTCCTCCTGCTCCAGATAACTTTGATTTAACTGATAAAGGTTTTGACATTGTTAACCGTCATCTTGTAACTAAAAGAGACGATCTCAAAAGAAAGGGAAAAGGTAATCATCCGAACGCTATTGAGAGCATAACTCCTAATCAGTTAGAAAAAATGTGGGCTTCGGGCGCAATCGGTACTCACGCTCCTCGGCCTTTATTAAGACTAATGTGGTGGTATAACACTGTGTACCATGGTGTTAGAGGGCGAATGGCGCATCACGAGCTTACTGTCGATGACTTTATTATGAAAAGAGATATTGATGGCAAAGTTTACATGGTGTACGTTAAAAAAAACTACGTTCAAGATAATATAAATAACAACATGGAACCCCCCAAAAAAAAGAAGTGTAAAGGGTTAGTTAAAGAAAGTGACGGAGGAGAGAGAGATGCTATACGCGCTTTTGAAATATTCAAAGCTCATCGACCACCAGGTATTGCTTCTTTTTATTTAACTCCTAAAACTAAACCAAAAGGAGATATATGGTTTAACAAAGTACCAATGGGTAAAAATTCTATTGGTCGTGTGATGAGGGAGATCAAAGCCATCTCTGCTATATAACCAATGTCTTTATTTAGATTTTTATATCAAGTTATTTTTAGATGTATTATTGTTATAAGAAGCGTTTATTATATGAAATGTTAATTTATTATTTTTGTAAAAACTATATTAGTTGTAAACAAAGAAATGTTGAAGTTTAGGTTTTTTAATATAGTAATTTTTAATTTCTTATTACTTTTAATGCCTTAATATGCAAAACTGGCTAATATTTTATGACTAACAATAAGCTCCGACTAACAAAATTTAACAAATACAAATTATTTTTTCTTTTTTTAATTATTTTTTATAAACTAAGAAGCATTGCACGTAATACCATTGCATGTTGCAAGTAATAGTTATGTATTAAGCAAAACTGGCAATGCTTATCAAGTTTTTATTTATTAGAAAAAATAATAATTATTTGACAATTGGAATAAACTTTTGCCAATAACTAAAAATAATTTTGCAAACATATAAAAAAAAATCTTTGCAAAAAGTAAAAAAAAGTAATGGAGATAAAAGTATTTGAAGATGAAAAGATGTTAGCAAGTAAAAAGATGAATAAAATACGGACTCATTTCTTGTTTAATACTTTCTATGACACTTCAAATGCAAAACTGTTATATGTATTTTAAAATGGAATTAAATACGTCATAAACATCAAAATCTTTACACTTTTTTATTTTTTTATTTACCTAGTAACTATTAGTTTACAAGTTTTTAAACGTGTTTTTTTACACTAAATTATCGACGACTGTTACCGACAAAAAAAAACGTATTTTTAAACATCTTTTGAAGACAAGTTTTGTATTTAGATAAAAATCATATCCAAAAAGTTTTTTATAATACACCTTGTACTTGTTTTTTATAATACACCTTGTATTTGCTTGTTACAGGTTTAACACAAAGCTTTCCACAAAACTAGGTTAATCAAGATATTTGAAAAACCTCCATCGTTTTTTTGATCATTCAAATAGAACAAAAAATAAACAAGTTGAAAAACATTAAATTTCTTTAATCTTGATATTAAACCTCTCTATCTTTCACTTTTTTTCTCTCTCTCATATATATATATATATATATATATATATATATATATATATATATATATATATATATATATATATATATATATATATATATATATATATATATATATATATATATATATATATATATATATATATATATATATATATATATATATATATATATATATATATATATATATATATATATATATATATGTATATGTATATATATATATATATATATATGTATATATATATATATATATATATATATATATATATATATATATATATATATATATATATATATATATATATATATATATATATATATATATATATATATATATATATATATATATATATATATAAGCAGAATTCCTATCATGCTGATTTAAGTTTATTCCTCACGAAAATTCCTTACGTAATTGTGGATAGGGGAGGTTCAATAGAGGAGTTGGGGGAGGAGTTGTTTATTCGTTAAAACTAGATGAACTTATTAATTTCTTTATTTACATCAACAAAACGACACCCGATGTTAGTATAAAAAAATATGATGTCATAATAATGATGGCTTACAAATGGCACATCAATCTTGATGAAGAAAAAAAACTTATCAGCAAGTTTAATAATTACTAAAAGTTCAAGAAAAAACTCCATATTGACGGAAATTACGCTATTTTAATAATTAGTTACATTCTCCAGGAGGTATCTCGCTTTTAACGAAAAGTGTTTAAGAAAAAAATTTAATATTAACGTTTTTTGACAATGTTATTTAACAGTATATTTTTGAATAATTATAAAATTACCAAAATTAAATTATTAAAAATTATTTAAACTTTGAAGTAAAAACTGTTTAATCTTAATAAAAACATTTGTCGAAGTCAACACCCGTCAGAACACCCAAATTTCGATAACTATCGATAACTGATCAACTTAACGAGCGCACAGATTATCCTACGACATTTAGAGCAAAATGATAACTCCCACTTTTTAAAGCAATTAAGTTGGATTGCAAAGCTTTTAAGTGTCAACTAGTAGCTATGGTTTTAGAAGTAACTAAGTAACTAAGTAACTAAGGGATTTAGTGTAATTACTTTTAGCCTTTTTTTTAACTACTTTTTTAATTACTATGGTTATTTAACATTTTGCAACATTAAAAATAATATAAATATGCAAGTATTGTAAATTAAATGATTTTTTATTTTTATGAAATGATTTAAATGAAAAAATTAAAAAAATACTATGCTTTGTTAATTAAAACCTTAAATTGAATGGTAAAAAAACAATAAATAATTATTTGACTGAATTATAATCGGCAGCTAATTAAGTATTTGGCTCTTAATATACGCATTTAAAAGATATATATTTATATATAGTATATATATATATATATATTTTTTATTTTTTATTTATATTATTACAATACAAAAATAATTTTGTAACTAAAAACCGTTTTTTGTACTGTAATGCACAAATTTATTAATTTAATTAATAATAATTAGGCGTTATTTCATGACTCCACGCTTTTATTTTGGCTTTTCTCGGATCTGCTAGTGCGAAAATGCAATTTGTGTTCTTGTCTCGGCCACAAAAACAAGAAAAAAAAGTTTCCACTCATCCGTTTTTCTACGAGAACGGGATAGGAAAGGAAAAAATAATCACGTGAGCATGCGTAATAAAGGTTTTTATTTGTCCGAAAGAAAACTGCGCATGCTCACGTGATTATTTTTCCGTTTTCCCGTTGAAAAACGGATGAGTGGAAACTCACCTTTAGTTGCATTTTCTAAAAACCGCGTCAATCAGACAAATTTTGCTTGATGGCATGTTTTTCGTGCATGAAAATATCAAACATTTTAATATAAAAAAATAGAATTTTTTTAAACTTCTAAATAATTAGCGGATTTGATCTTGTTTTAAAGAGTGCCAACACGATCGTTGGCAGTTATTACACTCCGAGTCATAATTGCTGAACATTGCTCAACAGAAGGCGCAACGCAATGGGGATTGCATTTTGATGGCTCTCAAAAAATAACTCGAATTGATGGCCCGCATAAGTTTGTATTCTGCAAGGTGTTTAACTGCTGAATAAAACTTTTAGGGAAAAGCTTTTTGGGAAAAGTGTGGCTTTAGTACAGCATAATCGAAAATTCTTTTGCAAAGCGTTTGATGTCTTTTGCAGGGCGTTCGATGTCTTTTGCAGGGCGTTTGATGTCTTTTGCAGGGCGTTTTTGAATTAAGCCCTAATATTCACATTTTGATGCAGTTAAGTAAGAATTTGTAATTTTGAAATCTGTATGTTCTTCACAGTCAAACAGCATATTATTTTGTTGGTTTTTGGAGTGGTAATATTTGGTAATTCAATGAATTTTTCAGGATTACTATAATCTGTTGATTTAATGCGCTTATTTGCATAAGTAAGCAATAGTATTAGGTATTTTAAAACAGGAACAATCATTTGTTCAAACTTGCCTACCTTCATTAAACGTTATACTTGCTTAAATCGAGCAAGTGGTGTTATCGAGGCAAGTTGAGCAAGTGATGTTATCGAGGTAAGTTGAGCAAGTGATGTTATTGCAAAACTATACTTAATTTTATTTTACTTTTAATGAAGGAAACATTGAAATTACAAAGCTAATCGAGGCAAGTCCTCTTTGTACCAAAGTAATAACTTGCACGTTATAATAACAAAAAAAGCAAAGAAAAGTAACAAAAAAGTGCTGAGAATAATTGCGCTGAAAACGATAAGAAAATTAAGAGAATATTTTACTAATAAGGATAATGATGTAAAAAATATGGAATAAAATATTTTTCCGAACTTTTTTAAATTGATTTTGTTTATAATAAAGAAAAGGAATTTTAAGTCGTAGTTTTTTAAACTCATTCAAAACGCATACAAAGCTCCTGTTCTATTCACAGACACACTGATGGACAAGAGAATGTTTATCATACATCTGACTTTTAAAAAATGGTACATTGTAGTTTTCCATTGTATATATTTCTAGTAGAGTAGTAATGTACTAGTCTATGTTCTGTGAACATACTCGTAATAGAAGTTGGTAAATTTATATTTAAGAAGTAGCCTAACTAGCTACATTGGTAAGGAAGGCCACGTGAGCTTCCTGGTTAAATGCTCTTCCGTGATATTTGTGACCTCTGGGAGCAGCTTTAAAGTATATTTATATAAAAAAAGGATTTATTATTTGCATACTTTACTAACGCTGGAAAGGTTGGAATGTTAAGTTTTTTCAAGAACTCCGATGTACCTGATTTAAGTGGCTGGAAGATCATTATTCTAACGCATTGACGTTGAGACGATAGCAACTTTTTAATGCTATAGTGCTCAACTTGACGCAAAACTTAACAAAAATAAGATGAGATGAGAATAATGCATTTCAAATTTTCTTAAGTGTTCAAAAAACAAAATTTTCTCATTTCCACAAAATTCCATTACAAAAAAAATCTCAAAAAACATTGGCATAGTTTATAGAGCAAAGGCATTTTTAAATTTTAGATCCTTAAAAAATTTAAATTTAAGTTATGGGCAATGTGTTATGGGCAAGTACAAATCACACTTAAATTTATGACCATATAAAGTTTAAACCCCTCAATTTGAGGGTGTTACAAGTTTTATATGGTCATAATTTTTGAACTCTGAGAGGTAATACAATAAAACTTAAAATTTATTGATGGTAAGTCTAGTTGAGAATAGTACATAAAAAAATTTTTATCAATTATTTTCCCCCTCCCCCCACGTTTGGTGTAGTGGGCGGTTGTATAAAGTGATAAGTCTATTTTGTTCCCTGCCTTCAATCATCGCAAGTTTTCAAAAATCAATATTATTTGACATAAGTATAAACATACAAATGTTTGGAGTTTGCTCCATCTCTGGAAGTTAGCACACCAAAAAATCTGGAATCTCAAACACTAAAAAATGCTGGATCCGTCACTGCTTTATTACACATATTACCATAGAAGTTTCTATAAAAATATCGAAAAACTAATTAAAAGCATGTTAGAGGAACAGAGAAAATGTATTTTAAAAGAAACATAAAAACTTTAAAAAGTAGGAGAAAATAATTAGGGACCGTGGCGCAGTGGTTAGAGCGCTTGCTTTAGAAGCATGAGATTCAGGTTCG